CACCCTTACTGAAGTATCTCACATTATGCATGGATCTCTCTGTAGCAACATGTTTACATGGCATCAAAATTACAGCAGAACAGGAACTAAAATCAGCATTAACACGAAGCCTAGTTTGAATGCTTGTGCTAGTCACCACATTGATCACAAAAATACATGGTAAGCACCTCTGTAAAGAAGACATAGGCTAGTTTAAAACACATTTAGGGACCAAGTCCATATGATGCACACATCAATCATGGCAAAAATGACAAAAGAGCTCGTTCTGATAAGAATCTGAAACTAACATTATGAAGCCCTCTTCCAACAGCATTTCGGGCATCAAGATGACCTCAAATTCAAATGATGCAATGGAACTAAATGATGTACTCTTCGAGGCGAACAATTTGACATATTATACGCACGAAACGGAGCTACGGGTGCGAAGATGCGATGCGATGAAGATGCAATGATTTTTACTGCAGATCTCAAGACTTAGTGAAAAAAACAGGGGGGGAAGAGAAGTCAACCGGCCCGATCTGGATCTGACGCGAGGGTTCGCCGGAGGCGGGCTCGCCGGAGGCGGGGACGTGGCCGGAGCAGCGTGAGGAAGACGGAGGAGCTCGCCGGAGGAGGCCGGAGCGTCGCCGGAGTCGGAGCGCGGCCGGAGGGAGGAGGGCGCGGGCGGCGACGGGGCCGGCCGGGACGCGGGCAAAGACGGCGGCGGAGGAGTCCTGCGGCGGCGGCGCGCCGAGGCGACGGCGGCGGCGGGCGAAGACGGCGGCGGAGGAGAGGGCGCGGATCGCGGGGCGGCGGCGCGATGGAGATGGGCTCGGGGGGGCCCGATCCGGGCCTCGCCGGGCCGGCGTCAGGGGGGGTGGCGCGGTGGCGGCGCGGGCGAATGGTGGCGTGACACGTGGCAGCGGCGGGGCGACCCGGATGTGTCCGGTTGCGGCTGGACGTGTCCGGTGGTGGCGGAAGGGGAATTCGCTAGGGTTTCGTCCGGAATTCGGGGGAGGGGTCTATATATAGAGGTAGAGGGAGCTAGGAGTGTCCAAATGAGGAGCGGTTTTCGCCCACACGATCGTGATCGAACGACCGAGAGCATGGATGGAAGTTAGATGGGTTATTGGGCTGTTTTGGAGGGGTGTTGGGATGCAACTTAAAAGAGGCCTTTGCGGGAGTGCGGTTAACCGTTGGAGTACCAAACAAGCTCCAAATGACCCGAAACTTGACAGGTGGTCTACCGGTGCTATACCAGGGCCACTTGGCAAGGCTCGGTCCATTCCGAGAACGTTCAACACCCGCACACGAAAAGGAGACAAAAGGGGTGCGCCGGTGCATGTGTGAGTGTCGGATTGCGAAACGGACAACGGGGAAAATGCTCGGATGCATGAGACGAACACGTATGCAAATGAGATGCACATGATGACATGATATGAGATGCATGACATGAATAAAATGAAAAACAAAAGACAAAACCCAACCACGGAGGGAATAACATATCACATCGCCGAAAATGGCAAGAGTTGGAGATACAAATGTGGAAAGTTACATCCGGGGTGTTACATTTGCGTCTCTCATGGGAGGCATGGGAGCACCTCCGGGCAGCATGGGCGGAATGTCTTCCGGTGTGCCAACACCTTCGCATGATGCCGTTGAAGATCTTGCCAACACCGCGCACTAACAATGAAGAGGAGGAGGAAGAATCGTCTTCAAATGATGAATCGGAGGAAGAGGAAGAGGAAGATGAAGACGAGGACGAGGCTTGATTGTTGATGGGCCATTCATTGGTGTGAACTTTTGTGTCATGAACTTGGTTCGGATTTTGAACTTGTTGGATGATGTTGTGGGCATGAACTTTTTATGTCATCATGAACTTGTTTGTGTGATTTAAATTATGCCATGTCTTTGTTTTGATGTTTGAAATTCATTTCGTGTCCAAAATGCAACATATGGCAAGCGTTGGCTGTCTGCGCGCTGCATTTTAGCGTGCCTGCTGGAGCTACGTGCGTGCGTTGCATTTTACAGCGGCCGCTGGAGCCAGCGCTGGCCGCCGCGCCAAAACAGGCAATCGGCATGTTGCAAACACATTTTTAGCACGCCGCACGTTGGGCGGCTGTTGGAGATGCTCTAAGGATGATTACCCAGTCCATTGTGGATATGTCTAGGGATGTTTTCCTAGTCCGGGAGATAAAATACCTGCTAAAGAATGATAGAAGAATAGAGGTGAATGTCATAGCACGAGAGAGGAACATGGTTAGTCACGAACTTGCCAAGATCGAGAGAGTTAGTGTAAAACGGCAGTATGTCTATGTACAGGACCTGACAGGGTTGTAAACCAGTGTTTACAGGATCTCTCTGATCCTGGTTAAGTAATGAGAAGTTCTTTCCTCCGTAAAAAAAGTACTGTTGCAGTTAGGATCTTGGGAGAATATCACCAGAAAAGTTTCGGAGGTGACGGAGATTGTTTTGAAAGAGAACCAAAAGTGTTTCGGGAAAATCAGAAGCGTTTCAGAGAAACCCGAATAAAGTGGGAGAGGTGAAAAAGTTCCAAGAGGGAAAATAATTATGCATACGGTCTTCGGGATTTATCGGGAGCCCCTAGAATTATTCTAGGTTCCCTAGGCTGCCCCCTCCTCCAAGTCGTCCTCCCCCCTCCCTCCACCTATATATACCCAAGGGGGGCTTGAGAAGAACTTCGCTCGTTATCTCTGATGCTCCCTCTCTTTATTTCTCCGAAAAAATAGAGACTCCGCCAGACTACTCCTCCCTCCTCTAGTTCTCCGGTGACGCCTAGCTCTGGACGGTGAAGCACTGTCGGATCGTCGATATTGTACGTGTGCAATCCGTAGAGAGATCGTGCTTTCGATCTTCGTCGAGGGACCGTTCATGGGACGGTTCGAGGGACTTTAAGAATGATCGTCACCTACTATTCTTTTGCTGCAACTCAAAGTTGGTAACGATAAGATCTAACCTTGTATGCATCTTCATAATGATCCTGGTTCTTGATTCGTAGGGCAAATTTTTTTGTATTCTACTATGATTCCCAACAAAGTATATGGGCCTTCAACTAGGTATTATCCAGCTCACTAGAGTGCAATGGCAGCCCATGCTTGACTGTGTTAGGGAATTTGTTCTAGCATGGTAATGTGGCTTTATCGCCAGGCCCGGGCGCTTGATTCTTGTCAAATATGTCATCGCAGCTAAGCCCACTCATCATCTCCTGGTGTTAGACCCATCAGTTTGGGTTTTTGAAGAAATCAACAAATGGATGTGACCTTTTTTCTAGGCTGGTTCTCACAAGGTAAATGGTGGCCAATGCTTTGTGGCTTGGAGTTGGATTTGTAGACCAACCTGTTTTGGTGGCTTAGGTGTCAAAGATCTTCATATTCAAGCCATGGCTTTGCGTGTGAGGTGGGAATGGTTGCACAGATCCGACCAACTTAGACCTTGGCAGGGGCTGCCACCGCTCAATGATGACAAGGCGAGACAAGTGTCCGACGGCCTGGTCCACATCTGCCTTGGAGATGTGAGATTAGTGCTCTTCTGGAGAGATCGATGGATCAATGGCATGAGCATCGCAGATTTTGCTCCTCTTGTGTTGGAGAAGGTCAACACTATTGACTGCCTCGAGGAGTGGTGGCTGAGATCGAGAAGATTGATACCTAAAAGATGGATGAAAGACTTCAATTCTACTGCCACTCTCACTGCCTGGAGCCTTTGGAACCCACGCAATGCTTGTGTGTTTAATAATATGGAGAAACAACAGTCACCCATTGCATTAATAATTTACATCAAAGATGAACTGAAAGAATGCAGGCTGCCGACGCGGTGTGCTTAGATAGTTTTGTGAGAAAGTAGTTCTTGTTATCCTGAATGTGGAGATGGCTAGCTACTTTGAGTTCATTGTGGCCTGGCTCTCTTGTAAATATTTTGATTCTTCCTATAAAAATAAAAATATGATATGCGGTTTATGTGGTCTTGAAAAAAAAAAGCATACCATGCAGAGCGACGGATGGGATCGCAAGTATTCCCTCAGTAAACTAATGTAAGAGCGTTTAGAACACTACTTCAATGATCTAAACGCTCTTATATTACTCTCTTCATTCCACAATGTAGTGCGTACACATTTTTCGAGATTTAAATTTGACCGTAAGTTTAACAAACGACACCGACCGCGACAGGAGTAAATTATACCTCTAATAATATGAATTCAGTGGTATAACTTTTGCTCCCGTCGCAGTCGGTCTTGTTGGTTAAATTTACGGTCAAATTTGGATCTTGAAAAACGCGGACACACTATATTGTGTAATGGAGGGAGTAATTTACAGAAGGGGTATTATGATTGTACTCTACTCTGCTAGAGTTGGATCGATATTTTTCTCTTGCAACGCCAAAGTAATGTTACTCGCAAAAAAAAAACGCCAAAGTAATGTTGCCGACATAGTTTTTCTTTTTTCTTTTTTGAGACATCCGACATTAGCCAAGTTCAGACTGGAGACATGGGCAAAAGAGTCAGACGGAGGACGAAATTTTAGATCGTGTCATATTTGGTCGGTTTTGTCCGCGCGCTCGTGGCATACAACAGCCGTCTTCGTCTCTGACACGCATCCGAACCGGCAAAGCGCACACGCACACGAATTCCTTATTTTTAATCCACCCCCTCACCCTCCCGTCCCCTCCGGCCGCGAAACCAACGGCGGCACCCGCACCCAAACCGCCTCGCCACCGCCCGCGCCTCGATCGCCTCCCCGCGGCCGCGTCGCTCTCGCCGCCCAATCGGCTCACCGCCGCCGGCCCTAGCAGCCAGCTCGATCGAGCGCGCGCCGTTCGGGGCTCCCGGATCGCCTCCGCCCCTCGCTGCCAGGATTCCGGCGCGCGGGGGCGGCCCGTCCAATCGACCGGTCCCCGAGGGCCGAGGGCGCCTCGCCGCGTGCCCCGGGGGTGGTATCTAGGGCCGAGGGCGGAAAGCTCCCGGCTTGGCTAGCGGGGCGTCCCGGTTCTCCGGCGGTTCGTCCATGGCGGAGAGGCGGTCCGGCTACAGGGACTGGGACAGGGACAGGGCGGCGTCCGAGGCCGGCAGGTACTGGAGGCCGCCGCGTTCCCAGGCTCACGGTGCGTTTCCTGATCCGTCCTCGTCTTGTTCGCAGCCTTGTCTGTTTCCGCGCTTGCCGTTGGCTTGGAGGGGTCGCGTCGTTTTCCCCTTTCCTTTCCTGAGTTGGAGATCTAGAATGCGCAGGGAGTAGGCCACACTCTCCCTTTCACGATCCGTGTGTTTCTGGCAGTGTCTAGACGCGGTAACTAACATTTTGGGTAAAATTCGGTCGGCAGGTGGGTAGTAAAATCATGCAAGTAGTATGTGCCGACACTACAAGGAAAATAACGTGCGTGGATACTTATGCTGGTTTACTGCTTCCTTCGTGGGTCTAATAATGCTTGTGCATTTGCTTGGCTTGAATTGATGAAAATATGAAGCATGTTCTAAGAAATCGCAGAGCTAATGTTTATGTGTATGGCCTCTGAGCTCACACATATACTATTTATTTATTATGCATATGCTGACGCTTATATTTGAACCTTTAGTAGTAATTTTGGTCTTGAATGTGAAACTGTGGAGTTTATCAAGTTGATCATTACATGTTCAATGGAGCTCTGATCTTTCAGTGCCAATTGTTTACAAGAATTATCAGTGTGAATGTTCTTTGCAGTTTTACAAGAATGCTGATATGATATCATATTTTGCTAAACAGGGAAATTAATGTTTCAGTAATACTAAACGACTGCTCAACATTTTAAGCCTTGTAAAAATAGATAGGGGTCAACCCCTCATCTTCCCATTCAAGTGCTCTGCCAGTGCTCAAGTAAAGAGTTGAATAGGATGTTTCTGTGATTACAACATTGGATGGGTTCTTTGGAAGTTCCCTTTGTTTTTAATGAGCTATGCGATGTCCTAATGCCCTCATGTTTTTGGAAATTTTCTTTGTTGTGACATATCAAAAAATTTGAATATATGAACATGAGACTATGTTAGAACATGCACGGGATTATGCTAAAAAATTCTTGGAACTAAGCTGAACCTGTACTGTGAGAAATTTGGCAGTGCCTTCTTGCTTCTCACATTTATTACTAAATATCTTGTTAATTGGCATTTCAAATCTGCACAGCTTCATTCTGTTCTATTAACAATCTATAATTTGAAGTTTCATGGTTATTTTATTTATGTGCATAGACTAATAGTACTTGGTATTTTCATGATTGTTAGTTGGTCCCCTCGTTTATCCTTTTGGCTGCTCTATTTAGTTGTGTTCCTTTTCTGGTAGCTGCAACTCTGGGAACAAATAGAAGTTGTGTTTTCTATACATCAAAGGTTAGTTCTGTGTACTCATAAAGCATGGTTTGTGTTTGACTTTCAGGTGGTGGAAATGTCTCTGTTCCACTATGGGAGAAGAAATTTTGCACCGATGCTTGTTCTATCCCCTGGGGTAAGCTATGCGAAGCCAAGAAATTGATGTCATTGTACACAAACATTGTTGACTGGGATGATTCGGCTGCATTCGAGGCTTTCAAAGATGCAAAGGACCGTTTCTGTGCTGCATATCATGGTCAACCTTGTTACATCCCATTGCCTGACCCAGACATGTACATTGATATGGTCAACCCAGATGAATATATCGATCCTGAGTTGGTTGCTGATCTGGAGAGGTCACGGCGTCGTGCTCCCAGAAGGGACAGCACCGCCCCAAATGGCTGGGACTCCTTCATCTTCGCAGACAAGCCAGTTCCGGCCACAGGATGGGGTGATGGGGAAACAACCAACACCATTGGCCAACAATGCTCTGTAAACTGGGATAATCATGTGGAACAGCTCGTTGAAGCAAATTGCAAGCAAAGCTCGGTGAACTGGGACAGTTACGTCAGTCAGCCTGCTGAAACATTTGTTCAGCAAAGCTCAGGAAACTGGGACGCGTATGTGGAACAGCAAGGTCAGACAAGCGGCTGGGGGGCGCCGATCATTCCCTGCACATCCAATTGGGGCATGAATGGTGACCCGTGGAACCATGACTATGGCTGGGGCTCTTCAGCTATTCAGACAGATTCATGGGGCGACCAGAAAGATAGCTACTATGTGCCTGACAGCCAGGCTCAGGGCAGCTCAGACGGGCACTGGAGAAGGCGAAACAGCCAGTCGGGCAGGCGGAACAGCAGGAACAGAGACAGAGGGGGTCCCATCAGCTCAAAGGCCATGAAATCCAAGTATCAGGCGGACGAGCACGGCGGCGCGAATAACGGGTGGAGGCACTGCCGGGTGAGAGATAACATGCAGTACTCTTATGAGCAGCCTGGTTATGCTGCCAACCAGTCACTAGCAATGTGAGAAGGATGATGAAGACCATTTGGCCGCTTTGGAGGTGCCATTTTGCGTTGGTAAATGTGGAAGGACCCCTGTAGGTTATGTGACGTTCCTGTAGATAGCAACGGTTTTGTCACAGCGATTTGCGCATTCTGTACATATGTTTTGAGCCTAGTTGTTCTGTTTACTGGCTGTATTGCAGCGCCGGCGTTGTCAACTCTTAATTTCAGCGTGTTTTATCGCTCCGAATCGCTTATAAACAGCAATCTCTTATATGTTTTAATAAGAGATTAATTACTACAAATTTGATTGCATGCACATTTCAAGATACTTTTTTATGTGCATAAGGCCTGTTTGGTTCATAAGTCCTAGGACTTTTTCTAGTCATAACTAAAAGTTCATAGTCAAGTCCCTCTTTGTTTGTTTTCAGGGACTAAAAAGCCCGTAGTCCCTCCCTAGAGGTTATTAAATGACCATGTTGTCCCTAGTATACAGAAAAATAACAATCAAACAACTTCATGGAACGGCGGGGCAATGGGTGCAGGGAGGGGCATTGATGGAAAAGTCCTAAAAAGTCCCAAAAAGTCTCCCCTTGAGAGTCTTCTTCATTTAGTTCCAAAAAGCAACTTTTAGGCCATAGTAGTCCCTCCTGTATGGTTAAAAAGTCTTTAAGAGGGACTTTTTCTAGTCCCTACACCAAAAAGTCCCTGGAAACAAACACCCCAAAGTTAGGTTTAAACAACTTTGTTACACTCAGAGCATCTACCGTTGTGCGCCTCAGGACATTGCCCAATGCATAGCCCCAGGATGATGCCTCGCATGCCATGTAGGATCGAATGTAGATGTTTGGGGAGAAATGTATGATCCGGTGTAGAAATGCGCCTCAAGACATTGGCCAGTGCATAGCCCCAGGATGATGCCTCGCATGCTATGTAGGATCGGATGTAGATATTTAGGGAGAAATGTATGATCCGGTGTAGAAAGCTGAAAAGGTTGAAGTGGAGAGTATAGATGCATGTGTACTAGAGTGGCCCACTAGTGATAGCTTGTGTTGGGGAGAAAAACAATCAATGTAGATGCCTCAAATTCTTTTTCTCATGAGGCATTTGTATTCATATGCCATAATTGTTCATGCCCTCATACCCACCTGAAATGTCCGGACAGACGGCCCGGTCACTAATTGGTCAAAAAAAAGAACGACCTAGTCGGGCTCCTCATACCGGCCATAAACGCCCGGACTGACCGACACCCCTCATATCTAGGGCAGATATGAGGAGGCCCAGACGCGTCCGCGCGTGGGATCCAGTCCACCCTGACCCCACATATATTTGTTCTTATCGCTTGCCGGACCAAACCTTAGCCACTCCACCCACTCCCCTCCGCCTCCTAGCTCACTTCCAGCAATCTCCAGCCTTCTCCGACATGGCGAGTAGCACATCCGAGTTCTTCGTCACCCGATCTGCAAACTTGGACCTCATCCCAGTCGGGCCAGAGGAGGAGATGGCCGTCTGCATCACGCTCCGCCGTGCCCGCTAGGAGAATGCCCAACAGACAACTCAATCCAGCGGAGATTCATAGTGTACGTCCAAATGGCGCTTGGATCTGGCGAGAGGCGCGCCGCCGCTCACTTGCCGAAAGCGGTGCACTTAGTCTGGCGTCCGAACGTCGTGGCGAACGCGCATCCCCTATATTGGCGCGCCGAGTCAAAGGCCCTTAGTGGCCCATTCCCGTCTAAGGTTAACATGGTGTCGTGTGCCCGCCGCGCGAGGCGAAGGAAGCGGGAGGTCGCGGCAGCCCTCGCGTCAAACACCGGTGAGACGGAGTCGCACCCTCTGGCGCAGATCCGACCAGGCTGCAACCCCGGGCAACGCATCCTTGTTGTGGTGGATGTGTCAGCCTCCGACCACATAGGATCTATCATCGACCTCGCATCCACAGGTGACGTGCAGGCGAGGGGCTCCGACGAGGAAGAGTAGGGCATGGGAGACGGCGGCACCTCGAGTCCCGTGAGTCGGTCCATGTCCCATGCCTACTCTATCTCGCCAATGACCGGAGCAACACTTTGAGGGGCACAGCCAGCCACCGGACATGGGTGCGACGGAGCCGGGCGAGATCCATTTGATTAGGTTTCACGTTGCATGTAACTGTATATATTTGAGGTATCCAATTGTGGAAACATTAATTTAAGATCTGAATGGTCACTGCCCGCGGACGCGCCCGGGAAGAGGTCGCATTTGTTGTATCCAGCTGTAGATGCTCATACATAACAATGGACGAGCACGGAACTTCCTTAACAACCATGAGTATTCGAAATAGCCAAGTTTATTTAGTACTCCTTTCATTCTCAAATATAAGATGTCCAAATATAAGTGTATATAGTGTATATTATAGACATGTTTTAGTGTGTTTTAGTCCATATGTAGTCTATATTGAAACATCCAAACATCTTATATTTGTGAACAGAGGAAGTAGCTAGTAAAATTTTGCTAGTTCAATTTGAACTGCGAAAACATCTTGCATTTAGAAACAGAAGTAGTTGTGATCTTTTTAGTTTTCATGATCGTCGGACTAAAAACCAAGCACGGTCGACGAGACATCAATCGGGCAGCTGTCTTTTCAGTTGGCCGCGCGATTGCCGTCCATTGGAGTTCAGCGGCCTCGGTGTGCGTGACCTACATCTCACCGGCATCTCGGTATGATGCCGTTGGCTATGGCTCAAAGCCATGGACCCTTCTCGCCCATGGCATCACCCGCAGCTCCCCTCCGACGGCGTGACTAGTCATTTCTTCCGCGCCTCCACATCTTGGCGCCTTGGCGATGGGAGAACTTGTCGTTTCTGGAGCGACACTGGCTTGATGGGCAGGCCATTTCCGACACTGCCCCATGTGTAGTCTATATTGAAACATCCAAAACATCTTATATTTGTGAACAGAGGAAGTAGCTAGTAAAATTTGGCTAGTTCAAAGTTCAATTTGAACTGCAAAAACATCTTGCATTTAGAAACAGAGGTAGTTGTGATCTTTTTAGTCTTCAGGATCGTCGGACTAAAAGCCAAGCACGGCCGACGAGACGCCAATCGGGCAGCTGTCTTGTCACTTGGCCGCGTGTCTACCGTCCATTGGAGTTTGGCGGCCTCAGCGTGCGTGACCTACATCTCACCGGCATCTCGCTATGATGTCGTTGGCTATGGCTCAAAGCCACGGACCCTTCTCGCCCATGGCATCACCCGCAGCTCCCCTTTGACAACGTGACTAATCGTTTCTTTCGCGCCTCCACATGTTGGCGCCTTGGTGATGGGAGAACTTGCCGTTTCTGGAGTGATCACTGGCTCGATGGGTAGGCCATCTCCAACATTGCGCCTGCCCTTCTATCTCTCGTACCACGTCGACGGCACCGCTGCACGCTGGTTTGCGAGGGCCTACACAGCGAGCCTGGATTAGTAATATCCATGGTGCCTTAGGCCCACTGGAGGTCATCGAGTAGATGAGTACGTCAACCTGTGGCGCAAACTACGAGGAATAACCCTCACCTCCGAGCCCGATTGCATCACCTGGAGGTGGACGGCAGGCTCCGTTCCACGGATCTACCTCCAGGAAACAACTTGTACCATGGCCTCTCCCAAGACCCTACTCCGCCTGGGCCATCTGGAAGCATCGCAATTCGCAACGCGGTCATCTTCGATGGCCTAAGAGCTCCTGCTCACTACTGCACCCTCCCAAAAGCCGCCTGACTGTATACGTCTGCGAGGCTGTACCCTGTACTATACTCTCTTTCTCCGCCTATCAATGAAACGATAGGTTGCTCAGCGTGTTGACCAAAAAATAATATTTTTAGTCAAGAAGATGCCTAACATAGTTACATAACAAGTGAAGTAGTGCCGGTTGCTCCCGGTGCTTGAAAATCCTGCTTGATTGTAAAAAACATGGCAAGTCACCTCCCTGGAGGCTAAGCAAACTAACAAACAAACAAAAGCAAAAAGGAAGCACATGAAAAAGCCATCAGAAAGTTCTAACAGCGGGCTTAAGCAAGCTCCGGTTTGGAATTCATTCATTCATTGCAAAAGTTTAATGAGCACATGTATTCTAGTGACATGGTAAGATAACAGATACGCAAGATCTCCGCAGAACATTGACAGATTACTCTAGATAGATCGCTTTTAAGTACAAAATCCACGAAAAACTGACTATGCAAACGTTTCAGCCTGACGAAGCATTCCCCCAGCAACAACTGAGGGTTGCCTAGAGCTTCAGCACAAGGCCAATTGGACTGTGGTCACTGGATGTCACGTCCGGGAGGATGTACGAATCATGAACCCTGTCGATGATGGATCCTGACGCAAGAAAGTAATCCAACCGCCAACCTGTTCAGTGGATAACGAGTTCAGCTTCCATTTTGACACAAGATAAAAAGAAACAATCATTTTGTTGTGCTACTTTCTTTCGAAAGTAAGAATCAGGTTTCTTGTTTTCGCAAATATACATGGGCTGTAACTCAAGTCTTTTGACCATTATTTTTTTCTAGATTACAAAACCTTAATTGTTCTACTCCCTCCGTCCCATAATGTAAGACGTTTTTGACACTACATTAGAGTCAAAAAACGTCTTACATTATGGGACGGAGGGAATATCATTTTGGGAAAGGTAGATCCTTCAATTTTGGAATATGTAAACCACTGATATAAGCTCTTTGCTGTCCTATTGTATACCAGGGTAACAGAAATCAGAAAGCAAATGCAACACTGCCTCATTTATGTAATCAATTTATCCACCAAGATAGTGATGTACCTTTGTTGTTACGCCGCTGATTTTCACCCCAGAAGGTGTAACCCACAGCCTTGGGATGCTGCTTTCTGAAGGTATCAACGAAGCCTCTCATATCAAAGTTTATCTGGAATGATTCCCTCTCTTCTTCGGTGAAACCTGCATCTTCAGTTTTGGCCTGAAAAACAGTGTTGAATAAGGAGCTGCCCAGATTACATCAATGGACTATTGAATTTAAAAGGGAACTTGTGCAATGATACGAGA